TTTTCGAACCATTTCTGCTAATGTTGGTGTTTTCTTCCGTCCACTTCCTTGACGCCGGGCTACGCTACCAGTATCACGGTAACGAGCGATGGTACGAGACACAAAAGATTTATTCACATTTAAATGCTGGAGTGATCTAACGCTGGAGTGGTTTTCTAGCCAAATATAAAGAAATTACACTCTAACGCTTGAATTCCATGACGAATATTTTTGTTTCTGGAAAATTCTCACCAAAATGCATTTGTGCGTTTGTAAATAATATAATGAGCTGTCACTGGAATAATATTAACAGCTGTCGGACGAGTGTCTTAGAAATGCAGCAGTCTGATTTTTTTTTCATCTCACCCTGTATATGTTTCATCCGATTTGGACTCCACAACAATGATATTTGGTACCACATATCTTATAGAGCTCGGAAATACCTTTGCCAAATTTTATTGAGATCACCTCAGATTTGGATATAGCTCCCATGTATATTCTTAATCCGGTTTCAAGTTTATTGTGCAAATAATGGCCCAAGAGGAGTGAAATTCGGGGCTAACGTTTCCATTCCGATATTTATTTTTCATATAATCCTTCTTGAAGTTATATCATGGTATTTAGTTATTTGAAATAAAAGATTTAAATGTTTTCGTCAAGTTTGGTGAAAATTGATTCAGATATGCCTTCCATATATTAGTTCCCTCTGAAACCAAATTGTATCTGCTCTAAAGTCAAAAGTTGATAGGTGGCATGAACTACTTCAAATAAATTCTTTTGTTATGGGAACTCTATTAAATATGGATGGTGTTGTAGTAGCCGACTTTTGACTTTTCCTTACTGGTTGAAATCTGCAATATTGCCGGAGACACCATATATACCTAAAATCAACGGATTCGAAGGAATTTTAATCCGAAAATTTCAAAACATTTAAGAGGGGGGAATTGTCTCCATGTGGGTTACTTTGTGATGTAAACTTGCAAAACGCCGATACACGTGTCTTATTTTTATTGCTCTACTTTCATGATCTGCTGAATTTCATTGTGTTACAATCGATTGATCCACACAAAAATGCTATATCCTCTCCTGGTAGTGATCCTGGCCATAAAAATGTAATGAAAGTAAAGTTGTTATGTGTCAATTACCATTGCATGGCATAAATGTGACCACAATCTGTAAGTATGTATGTGTGTGTTTGTATTACTGTGCACATTTTTTTGCTCACAAAATTGTTCATATTTACGAAACAAAATTCACTTTTAAGTTACAGCAAACAGTCTGCAAAAGAAAATTATGCGTAAAACTGGCTCCACCATCCATACCCACGATTTCAGGTTATCTTTGGCAAAAATTATAATAATGCATTTTCTGGCCAAAGATGATAATGACGATGATGATTATTATCTTCCAGGCAAATAAAAAAACAATCAACGAAATGTTTGGACACAAATGTTGACAAACATGTTGCACGATGGCACACAACATCAAACATTTTGTGTTGTACTGCATGTGTGTTTGGTGAACTAGGTTGTGTTTATGGTTCGATGAGGTTTGTTTTCGTAATAATGATGTTCACGTGCCTTCTGCAGTTGGTTTGATAAAAATATTTCCATTTCAACATTCAATCAAGTTCTTTGCATTGTGGTGCATTTTGTGTGTCGCACATATTTTTTGGGAAAGGTCATGGTGGCTTGTAAAAAGTGTTATATACAGTGGATCACAATAATTTTAGACTAATATGAGGGATTTACTGACTGGCTAATTCATTAACTCCTAGAGGAAACGGGCGAAGCTGGAATCTTTAAATTTTGAATTGTGGTCAACATAGGGGCGAATATTGTGAGTCTTTTATTATTCAAAATTTTGACCCGTTTGTGGGGGAGGTACCAGAAGGTGTGGACTGATGTATTCCATCTTCATACCAAAACTTGAGTTAATAAAAATATTGTGATTTGTGTGATTTGGAGGCAATCGGACTCCTACATCGCATTTTATAAGAGTTATAATTATTCTAAATTTTGACCCGTTGTATGGGAGGTGGGTCGATATCTATAATCTTCACAGTATATAGCAATGTGCAGAATTTGAAGACAATCCGACCCTTGTTTTACATTTTACAATTATTCAAAATTTTGACCCCTTGTAGGGGAGGTACTTAATGGAGTGGGCTGCATCTGACCTAGCCCTGATTGGGATTTTCAAGGTTGGCATAAAATTGAATGATTTTTTCTTTTTCTATGGGGTGAACTATATTCTCTGAAATGGTACTAAATGAGGTATTTGGGTAAGGGATTAAATTGGATGCCTAAAATTTGACATTAGGATTACCTTTTCTGCGGTTTGGTTGCAACATGACGGGTGATTTGGATTCGTACCAAAAAAGTACGTACGTACGTTCGTAGTACAAAAGTACAACTACATTTTTTGTGAAGAGAAGTAGATGGCAATTTGAAATTTTGTATTGGGGTCCCGTGGCTGGTAAGTTTGTGAGGTGGTTTTGGAAATGTGTACAACAAGTGCGCGAAAAGTGCTAAATAGTACTACATTTCGAACATTTTGGTATTGGGTGAACAGATAGAGCTGTTCATGTGTAGCCTGGACATATGACGGTGAGTTTTGAAATGTGTACTAAAATTGTACGAAAGGCACTAAATAGTACTCAATTTCGCATTTGGGGAAAGAATAGAGCTGAAATTTGATATTGATGTCACTGTTGATCTGGATCTGGAATTGAGATATGGAAGTGATTTTGAAAATTGGTACTATAATTGTACGAAAAGTACTAAATTTGGTATTAGATGAAGGAATAGAGGGGAAATTCTGAAATTTGGTATAGATGGTGCCTGTGGTTGAGATATAGAGCTGGTTATGGAAATGTGTTCTATAATTGTACGGAAAGTACTAAATAGTACGAAATTGTGTATTGGGCGAAGGGATAGAGCTGGATTCCCGCAATTTGATATTGAGGTATTTGTTGGCATCTGGAATTGTACGAAAATTATTAAATAGTATTATATTTAGTATTGTGTGAAGGTGTAGAGCTGAAATGCCGAATCTTGATTCTGTGGTCTCTGTTGATATCTAGGATTAAGATAGCGAGGTGGTTTAGGAAATGCGTACTAAATTTATTCTAAATTGAGTCTTGGGTGAAGGGGTAGAGCTGAAATCCCATAATTTAATATTGTGGTTTCTGTTGGTATCTTCAATATTTAACTCAGTTTTTACTTATATCCTCCTCGGTAGACTTAAAAATGAAAGATTTTGAAGACTTTGTGGTGCAAACGGTAAACATTTTCCTATTATTCTTTCCGAAAAGGATAATCTTCAGAAATACAGAGTAAGATAAAAAAACTGCAACTAAATTTATTGAATGAAAGCAAAAAATTTCGGAAATAGCATCAAATTTTAGAATAAGTTTAGATTTCTTCGAATTGGTCATCTTTGACACGAATTATGGCCTTCAAACGGCCAATGAAACCGTCACACGCTGCCCGAATTTTGCTCTGTGGTATTTTGGTCCATTCCAGGCGAAGCGCTTGCTTGAAGTGACCGACACTTTGGTATTTTTTAGTGTCAACCTTGCTTTCCAAAATACTCCACACACAATAGTCCAACGGATTGGAATCCGTAGATTTTGGTGGCCATTGAGCTCTGGAAATGAAGCGAGAAACCTCATTTTGTAACCATTCTTGGGTGACGCGTGCTGAGTGCGATGGTTCTGAGTCCTGTTAGAATGTCAAAGGTCTGCGTCCAAAATGTTTGCATGCCCAAGGCTTTAATATACCTTACAGAATATTTTCGCGATAAAATTCGGCATTTATTCTGATGCCACGGTCGTTTAATACGAGCGGAGAGCGACCATCGGCTGTTATTACAGCCCACATCATCACAATGGCCGGCGCTTGAGTTCTGGTGGCCAACCGAAGGTGCACATTTTCAGCTGACCTCTGTGGCAAGTAAACGCGATAATTTTGTTTGTTTAAAAAGTGCTGTACAACGAATGTTTTCTCATCGGAGAAAACCAAATTCGGCGGTTCACCACTTTCGGCCAAGCGAAGCAATTCTTTAGCTCTTTTGAGTCTATTTTCTTTCTGTTGAGGTATAAGTTCTTGCACTTTTTGGCATTTCAATGGCTTTACTCCGAGCTCATTTTTAAATATTTGCCGAATGGAATATTGCGATATGTTCAGCTCACGAGCCATTTTTCAAGTCGCTTCTTTACTTTTCGAACCACTTCTGCTGATGTTGCTCTTTTCTTCCGACCACTTCGCTGACGTCGGGCTAGCTACCAGTATCACGGTAATAAGCGATGGTATGAGACACAAAAGATTTATTCACATTTAAATGCTGGAGTGCTCTGACGATAGCCACTTGTAGTTTTCCAGCCAAATAAAAAGAAATGACACTATCACGCTTGAATTCCATCGCGAAAAACTATTTTTCTGGATAATTCTCACCAAAATGCTTTTGTTAGTTTGTAAACAATATAATGAGCTGTCAATGGAATAATTTTAACAGGTGTCGGACGAGTAGCTTAGAAATAACAGCAGTCTGAAGTTATTGCAGTTTTTTTATCTCACTCTGTATATAAAACCTTAAAAATCTGAAAAGTACGATATATGAAGTACGATATATGAAATTTTGATTTAATAATTTTGCCAAACTAAAAAAAAAATAGCATTTTGGGTACTAAAAAGGCCTAACACGAATTGTTGCAACGAAACCTCAAATTTTCAGGCGGACTTTTAGTTTATGAAGTCGCGTGTACTTGCTAGTTTGAAATAAAAAACTAATACTTCTTTTTACATTGTAAAATAAGGCACATGTTTCTGCTATACTACGTTCATCATAAATAGATACTTCGATGGTAATATTTATTTCAGTATTTCTATTTTCTGATTTGTATAACACTTATCCCCCACTGTTAATTGGTTCAAACCTCGTTGTTCGAACATTCAACATTATACAATATTCCAGTATGAACACATACAATTTGTTTGCTCGACAGCCAATAACAAACTTCGCGCCATACAATCCGTCCATCCGCCTGCATGGACAACAAACCAAAAGTAAACAACAAACCAATTCAAGCAACCATTTTTCATTTTTGCATTTTCAAATACCATTCAGACTTTGAGACATACGGACGTCAAACAGGTAGCGCGCAATGTGAATAAAAGAAAATAACAAAAGAAGAAACAAAAATAAACGTAACAAAAAAAAAACTAGTTAACGCATATTAAAAAAATAACTCAATGCAATATGTAAATAGAAAACACGGAAATAGAAATAAAGCAACGTTTAAAAATAGAAAAATAAAGAATTAAAAATAACGCATAATCAGAGAATCATTTTATATGTTATGATGTGAAATTTTATGAAGAAATATTAAATCTTCTTCTTGGAAAAAAAATATTTCACATATGTACAGCAAAAAGCAAAAATATAAAAAATCAAAAACACCAACAACAAAGTGCAATATATATTCTGGTACAAAGTGTATTTGTGTATAAATGTGAGTTTTTTGTTTAAAAGAGTGAATAAAAATTTAAATGGCTGCTGTTCATGAGATATATATGTCATTTATGTGAAAAGAAAAACATACTCTACGGCAAAATTTAAATACAGAGCGAGCTCAATTAATGCTATCTTGGAATACAAATAACCAGCACTGGAAGAAGTTTTAAAATATTTAAGGATTTGGGAAAAACTGACCATAAATTCGCATTTTTTTGAGATCTATTCCAGTCATAAATTTTAGTAATCAAAACGCACAATTTGTTCAGTTTGACAGAATTTTTTAATCAAAACTCCATACATGGTACTAAATTAACAAACATTCGAGGTTTTCCATGTTTTTTCCTTTTTCGAAAAGAATAATAGGAACATTTTTACATTTGATGCCGAAAAGTCTTCAAAATCGATCATTTTGAAGTATGCCGAGGAGTATATTAGTAAAAACCATTGCACAATGGATCCACATGCAATTTTTCTGTCAAAAACTATTTCAATGTCTCCCCATATGCAGAGCATAGAAACCAACATTGACCTCAATATCAAATTTAAGGATTTCACCTCTATCCCTTCACCCAATACCAAATTTTGTATCATTTAGTACTCCAAAACCACCTCCATATTTTAATTCCAGATACCAGCAGATAGCTCAATATCAAATTTTGGGCTTCCTGCTCTATCCATTCAACAAATACCAATTTAGTACCACTTAGTTTTTCGTACAATAATGGGACCAACATGGACCTCAATATCAAATTTAGTAACATTAAGTAAACGTAACCTAAACAATCGACATATCTTCTATCTCAGACACCAACAGTGACCTCAATATCAAATTTCAGGATTTCAGCTCTGTAAATTCCCCCATTCCATAATTTAGTACCATTTAGCTCAATTATTGTACACATTTCTAATGCCAGTTCCTTTTCTCAACCACGGCCACCAACAGTGAGATTCATATCAATTTTTTGAATTTCAACTCTATTCCTTCACTCAATACCTAATTTAGTACTATTTACTACTTTTTGTACAATTATAGTACAGATATTCAAAACCACCTCCATATCTCAATGTCAGATATTAACAGAGATCTGAATATGAAATTTCGGCATTTCAGCTTCATTTCTTCAGCCAATATCAAATTTAGTACCATTTAGTACTTGACGTACACATTTCCGACATCATCTCCATATTTAAATCTCAGATATTAACAGAGATCTAATTATGAAATTTTGGGATTTTAGCTCTATTTCTTCAAATTTAGTACCACTTAGTACTTTTTGAACAATTATAGTACACATTTTTAAAATCACCTCTATATTTCAACCCTTGTACCAACAGAGACCTCAATATAAAATTTCGGGATTCCAGCCTTATTGCTTCACCAAATACAAAATTTAGTACCATTTAGTACTTTTCGAACATAAATAGGTTGTATTTCTAAATCAACGCTAAATCTCAAATCCAGAGAGCATAATATCAAATTTGAGGTATCCAGCACTATCCCATCACCCATTACTGAATTTTGTACCATTTAGTACTTTTCGTGCCATTATGGTACACATTTCCGAAACCACCTCCAAATGTCCAGGCTACACATGATGAGCAACCCTAATACCAAATTTCAGATTTCAAGAACAATCTATTCACCCAATACTAAATTGTATATATAGTACTATTTAGTAATTTTCGTGCGCTTGTAGCACACATTTTCAAAACCATATCTTTATCACAAATCTATCACCAACAGGGACCCTAATACAAAACTTCAAAATTTCTGCTTCAGCCGTTTACCCTATACATAGTGCTCCAATTTTTGTACCATTTAGTACGGTTGGCACATTTAGTACATATTTTCAAAACCACCATTATATATCAAAATTACTTTGCAAGCATGACTCTCATACCAAATTTCAAGTTTTTAGCTCCGTCCATTCACATTTAATGCCATTTTAGAACTTTGCGTAACCTTAAAGTTCGAATTTCCGAAACCCCTTTTTGGTACATCTATCCTTCACTCTAGCAGTCACTCTCATTCCAAATTTCAGAACTCTAGCTCATTTCGTTTGACCAATACAAGATATTTAATTTTTAGTACATTTTAGTACTTTTCCTACCCTTTTTGTAGAAATTTCCGAAAACTCTTTGGTACATTTATCCTTCACTCTAGCAGTCACTCTCATTCCAAATTTCAGAATTCTTCATTCATTCCGTTTGTCCGATACAGAATATTTAATTTTTATTACATTTTCATTTTTTTTTAATTTTATTTTATTAATTATTTAATTATTATTTTATTTAATTTTTATTACGTATCCTTTTATCACACGCCTACCCACCAAAACTGGCCTTCATGTAGAATTTCAAGATTCTAACTACAACCGTTTCGTCTGAGTGTTGATTCTCAGTCAGTCAGTTATTTGACTACTCTTTCGTATAAAACGATTGCATTAATTGAGCTCGTACTGTTTGTATTGTTTTGAAAAGTAAATATAATTTAAATTAAAAAAAAAAAATTTCCAACAGTTCAAATAATCATGCAGTGAATCTTTTTAATGGTCCATCATAAAACAAACAAGCCGGCTCATTGGATATAAATCACAACAACAACAGCAGCAACAAATTTTAGATACAAAAAATTTCGAAATATCATAAAACTGAACACTTTTTTCGTTTATTTGGAAAAAAGTGCCAAAATTCAGTTTATTTTTCCTGCTCATACTGTAGCTCTTAAAAACGGAAACAACAAGTTTTGGCAAAAATTTTTGAAATACAAAATAAAAAATTTTGCATTAAAACGAAACGAAAAAAAAAAAATAACAACGAAGAGGCCTCCCCCCAACAAAAAAGAGATCAAAACAAGTATTGAGAGATTGTGATATATACAAAAAAGTTAAATTAAAAATAAATTAAAATTTCCATTTAAATTTGTGTGTGTATGTGTGATTGCGTCAATTACTTGGAAATTTTATGAGGCTGAGTTTTGAACTGGTATTAATTTTCAAGAATTGAATTTTATGTGGTACCAATGCAAAAAAAGTGATTTAAAAACCTGTTTTGAAATTTATAACACTACTATCAAATAAGAGTTATAAAAAAATTAAATTGAAAAAAAAAAACAAACTCAAAATTGTGATTGGTTTAATAAAAATTAAAATACAATTGTCGAAATAATCAGCTTTACTACTTTGAGATAAAATTTAAAAAAAAGTAAAAATAACTTAAAAAATAGATATCTATTCCAAAAACAAATTATTCAAATGAAAAGTATTACTAAAATTACTAAAGAAATCTAAAGGAAAATTTTCAATATTCTCAATTGGAGCAAAACAGACAGAAATAAATTATGCATGCCACAACAAAATTCAAAGAAAACTGAATGCATATTCTCAATATTAAAGTGAAAATTAAATAGAGCCGAACATTGTAAAAACAAAAAACAGAAAAAATAGCAAGAATTAAAAAAGAAAACAATAACAAAAACCATCAAAAGTATTGCAAATAGCCAATTGCCAAAGCAAACTTCGTTCATTATTAAATTTTGCTAAATGCCGGCCACAACGCAATGCAGGTTTGAGGCCTCTGCAGTTAATTTGTCTTAATTAACACACATTGGAAACAGAAACAAAATACCAGCAGCTCCATCTACCATTACCACCTGTATATGCAGTGGCAACAACACCCACCACATTGTATGTTGGACCCTTTTGCCACAAAAGCACAGACACATACACACAGAAACATACATCAACAACGTCATCAACAAACATCAGCAACAACACCATCATCATCGTCTCATCAACGTTTTTGTGTTAATGTTTTAATTTATTTCAACTCAATTTTTGTTGAAGTGTTTATTTAAACAACGCCACACCACACCATACCACAAAGAGCAACAACAACACCAACAACCAAGAAATACCACCCAGCTAATGAAAAACTTGTTAATTGTTGCAAATATTTTATTATCATCATCATCATCATGTATCTAATACAGGTGAGAATTTATTTTCATTTTTCTTTATTTTACATTTCTTCTTTGTCTTCTTCTCTTTGTATTTATATTTTCTTATTTATATTTAGTTAAGGTTATTTGTTGTTTTTTTCTTCACAATTTGTTGTTGTCCACCAGCGTTGTCTCATCACCACCAGCCAATCCAACATTTTTAACACCTTTAGGTTTGTTTTCTATTTTCTTAAGCAGTTTTGTTTTTGTTTGCTTTTCTTTGAGTCCAATGTCTTGAGGAAAACCAAACAAACACACACACACTCACCTTAAACATTTGGTTTTGGTTTTCATGCGTTGGGGTCACTGTGTCTTCAGGGCAGACATGTGAGCGACCCAAAACCACCTCGCATTACAACCAAAAGAAATTAATTTCTAGTTATTTTTTTAGCAAGAAACAGGTGAAAATTTGCCAGAAAACGGGAGCATAGGGCTATTTCATACATTAGAATATAGCGGGGGTCAAGTAGAGAAAATAAGATGAAAGAAAACTTTTGGTAATGGTGAAACCCCTTTTTGCATGAGGAAAAGGCCATTTCTCCTCCCTCTTATCTCATTTTCGAATAATGGATTAATTTCGCCACCAGTAACTACTAAAAAACCGCAGCCAATCCTCTTATTTTAACATTGGAAGAAGAAGAATAAGAAGTAGGCACTTAACCTCCTACCCTTAAGAGCCAAAACAATAGTTGTTATGGTCTTTGGAACATAAAACACTTCATTTTTATACCTTCCACCATTGGGCTGTTTCATACATACTGATTATTACATATATAGGGTAAGCAATAACCGTGAAATCGGGCAAAGAAGTATATCGAAGGGGTATATAAAATTCTGAACCCATCTCGATAAAATTTGACAGAGGAATTTTCGGGCAGTATTTGATGTCTGGTGTTAAATATCATTGTTGTAGAGGTCATATTACGCATGTGAGGGACTTTAACACCAAATCGGATAAAACATATATATATCTGAAACGATTTTCTCCAAATTTGATGTTCTTTCTTCTAGACTGAATTCGGTCGGATGTTTCAAAATACAGTCGATTTGGGTTGATATTAGCCATTTGGTGCCCAAAAAAGATATACATGGAAGCTATATCCCAACCCGAATCGATTTTGACAAAATTCGAAACACTTATTTCTGAGCTGTGTCTAAAGGCTGGTACCAAAGATTATTGTTGTGGAGTGCATATTACGAATGTGAGGGACTTTAACACCAAATCGGATGAAACATATATATGGGAGCTATATCTAAATTTGAGTCGATTCTCACCAATTTCAATCGGGTTCGTCCTTTGTGCAAGCCAAAGTTGTTTGGAAAATTTCATCTCAACCGGATAATAAGTGCGACCTGCATTTTGTTCACAAAAATACATGGAGAGACGGCGGGAGGGAAGGACAGACGGACTAAATCGACTCAGAAAGTGATTCTATTGAGATCCTCAAAAGCAACTATGGGTCTATATCGCTTCCTACTCCATGTTACAAACAAATCTCTTATCACTATATGGTGTAGGGTATAAAAATCCAACGGACCTAAAATACCTAAGAGTAAACTTTTGCCAATCTTTTTTATTCCTTTCGACAGATGAAAGGACAAAAAGTACTAAAATGTACAATAAAGTAAATATTTTTTATTGGACAATCACAATGAGCTAGAATTCGAAAAAATTGGAATGAGAGTCACCGATGGAGTGATGGATAGATGTTGCAAAGGGTTTTTGGAAATTCGAACAGTTCTAAAATGGTACTTAACTTCTTGATAAAAAATTGATATTTGGGATGAGAATCAAGGTTGGAAAGTAATTTTGATATGTGAGAGTGGTTTTGGAAATGTGTACAAAATGTACGAACAGTACTAAATTATACTAAATATGTTACAGTTTTATTTAGGGTGGACAGATGAAGCTGGAAATTTGAAATTTTGTATTGAGGTCCCTTTTAGTGGTTGGTTTGTGATAAGGAGGTGGTGTAGGAAATGTACATAATTTAGTACAATTTGGCATTGGGTGATACTGCTTGAAATCTGAAATTTGGCATTAGGATCACTGTTAGTGTGTAGGGTTTAAATTTGGAGGTGATTTTGGAAATACGTACTAAGCATTTCTAAATGGTACTAAATTTGGTAGTTGGTGAAGGAATAAGGCTGGAATCCTCAAATTTTATATTAAAGTCTCGATTGGTATATGGTATTGAGATAGGAAGGTGGTTTTGGAAATGTGTGCTACAAATATGCGAAAAGTACTAAATAGTAATAAATTTGCCATTCGGCGAAGGAATAGAGCTGAAGCTCTGAAATTTTATATTGAGGTTACTGTCAGTTTTTTTAGGGTTTACATATGGAGACATGGACTTTGGAGGTACCACTATATGGCGACTATTCCAAAATATAAACCTATGTTGAAATTTTTGTGTAAATTGATTCTCTACCCCCCCAAATCGATAGGAAAATGTGGTTGAGAATCCCCAAATTAGTACGTACCTTAATATGGGCCCTACACCGATACATTGGCCAACAGTGAACACTTTCTGCGAAGAAGTTTTCTAGCTGCCTTAGAAACCAAGATGCCAACTAAGGGACAAATCAATTGAAAAATGCAGCTAAGACCTTGGAAATAACTGAAACTGAAGGTGTACCCCTTCACATGAGGATTATAGCAAAACGTGGCCCATATATGGATAATTTTTTGCAATGATGATTGCTTCTAACTAAAAATCCAAATTATCAAAATTTGTCGAGATTAGTATGAAAATAATGTCAAAAAAGTAAAAAAATACTTGAAAATCTGGGGATAGGCCCTATATAGCCCAAAAGATGGATCGATATGACCCATATTTTGTACAAATTATTTTACATTTAATCTTTTTTAAATTTCGCACAATATGGAGCAAATGAGCATTTGAGGCCATTGGTGTAGCCAAAGGCTATAATAATGGATCCTAAAAAGCCAGACCTGGGAACCCAAAACCTTTTTAGTATTTTGATCTACTAACAGAACACTATAAGCTCCACCTGGAATTTGAGATAATATCCGCCATTTTTTGCCCAAAATGTAAGAGTTTGACTTGCCTTTTAACATTTTATTTCACGTTCGGGGCCAGTCAATTCAGCCGCATAAATCGTATGATTTAACGCCTTTAGTTTATTTTTTGTGGGACTATGTTAAAGCTTATGTCTATACAGACGAACCCGCTTCAATTGACGTATAGGAAGGCAACATTGAAGAATTTATTCCTGAAATAACAGCTGAAATGTTGGAAAGAGTATGCAAAAATTTAACTAAGCGATTGGACGATTTGAGGCCCAGTCGTGGTAAACATTTGCATGAAACAATTTGCAAACATTAAATTTTATTGACCATACTGTCAATTCAAATAAAGATTTCATGCATTTTTCTGAATTGTATGTATTTTTTGTATATCTCATAAAAATCACACAAAATAAGTTACTAAGTGTTGGATAATTATTTTTGGAGATCTTATAATAAAATTACAATTGTACCGAGCATTGATTCTAAAATTTGTTCCGTATAAAATATTAAATATTCTTGATTTCCTATACCAATACTCATAACAGAACTGTATGTATGTAGATTCCAGTATTGAACCACATACATTAAAAAAATTTACCAAGCCGACGTTCTTCAAATATATACCTGTTTCCACTTCATTAAAAAAAAATTATCATTTAAAATTGCTATTTAAATTATTGCTACCTGCTACAGGTAATTTTTGTTAAGAGCCAATTAAATATTATTTGGAAAAAGTATTCTCACCATTTATCGAATTGAGAGTCATATTTCTTTAGTTGTTTGCATTTATGATGGGAATATAAAAGATATCCATTGTAAAACGTTTATCACTTTGAAACATTCAACACCAGTTCATTTGCAAAATATGAAAGCCCTTTTTGCGAAAATCATATTTTTCTTTGCTGCCACTGCTGCTGCTGCAAAAAAAAAAAAAAAACAAACAGTTTACATAAATATAAATAAATGACTTTCTTTCGTAATTAACATATCTGTGAACTAGGCAAACAGACTGTGTGGCATTTATCTCAATTATTTAACAAACGAACCAGCCAGCCACCTAGGCAGAGCTACTGACTAACTGTGAATGAATTTGATGAATTCGTAAACTTTACAAAACTGATGGACAACAACATTGTTCATAAGTATTTAACGAATGGCACAAAAGAGAAATTTACATAAAAAAGTAAAAACAAACATCATCAACACTGTTACGCTTTTATAAAAATAACAATAAAAAACCCCATTTAATGTAAAACTTTTTTTGAGAGGGCCGAAACACAACAATTCCATGGCAGCGAGATAATAGAGACTGAAAAAGTGTGAATCAACACTCTGTTGTATATTGTATCAATGATCGGATTTTGAAAACTAGTAATAATGGTGCAATATTTTGAATTTATTTACCATCAAAAGTCACAAATAAAAGATCAAATGGCATTGAAAATAGCATAACGACATTATATCCCACCAATAATTATAATCGCAGGTCAAATGTTGCGATAATTGACATCGAAGGACCAAATCATTGACCATATAATATTCTTGTGTAACTTCTCGAAATAATCGTTTTCGATCCCACAAAGCATAAATTCATGACCTGCATAAAATTTTATTTCGATTTAGCCAAACTAAAAGGAAGGAGCTCATGCCAATTTACAGGGTGAGATAAAAAACTGCAACAAAGTCAAACGCCATCATTTTTGCATTTTTTTAATTTTATTGAATGAAAGCAAACAAGTAAAAAACATTAAGTTCGGCCGGGCCAAACTTTTAATACCCTTCACCTTAGGGTAAAAGAACCATTAGAAGAAATGTGGCAAAAACCATTAAAATGCCGAATATCGGGAGGTACCGTTATATGGGGGCTACATCAAACCGTGAACCTATAATTACAATGTTTCGCCACACGAACTAGGACCCATTTTGACCCACAAATGCCAATTTTTAGACAAATCAG